GAGGAGGAGGAACATAAGGAGGAAAGGGAGGAGCAGGAGGAGGAGGAGGAGGAGGAGGAGGAGGAGGAGGAGGAGGAGGAGGAGGCAGCGAGCGCGATGGGGCAGGACCGTGCGACGCGGGCCCACGCTGGGGACCTGCACAGCCCCCGAGCGCTGCGAACGTCAGGCGCACCACCTCCTCCTCTCCTCCTCCTCCTGGTCCTCGCCCTCCTCCTTCTTCGTCTCCTGTTGCTCCTCCTCCTCCTCCTCCTCTTCCTCCGCGTGCGCCTCTTCCTCCGCCTTGTGCTGCTCTCGCTCCCGTGCTCTGGCGTAGTCCTGCTTCCTCTGCTTCCCGTGCCGAGCCGAGCCCCTCCTGCCCCCCGCCGCGCCCCCGTGCACCGGGCCTCTCGGCCGCTTGCCACTCGCCTCTTTCGCTTTCTCCTCGTGCGCCTGCCGCGTGTCCTCTTCCTCCCCAATGGGCAACATAAAACATAAGGAGAGGATAGGCTCAGGGGTGGATGCATCGGCTTCCAGTCGCCCACTGATCGCCGACTGGGGCCCGATGGGCCCGCCCTGCCCTGGAGCGTGCGGTTTTGCTATCGGGGGCCTGTCGTCGATCAATCGGCGAGGTAGCGCCGATTCCAGGTCGATGTTTCCCCTCCCGCCCCTCCCCCTGAGCCAGTCCCCCTCTGAGGTTAAGCCCTCCCGTGAGCTTGTGTCTCCCGCCCATCGGCAACATACTCCAGAGGCCACGGCCTCGCCCACGGGATCTTTCTGGCAGGCCAGGACGACGCTTTGCAGAGGTGGTATTCTTCTTCTTCTTCTTCTTCTTCTTCTTCTTCCTCGGCTTCCTCCTCCGCCTCTGTCGGCCTCCTCTTTCTTCGTCCGCCGCCTCCGCCTCCGCTCCCTCCTCTTCCCCCTCCTCCCCCTCGTCCCCCTCCTGCTCCTGTTCCTGCTCCTCTTCCCCATCTGGGCCTGCTGTTGGGCCGAGGAGCTTCTGTTTTTTTGTTGCGTCCCGGGCCCCCCGAGAGGATCTGGGCGGCGGTCCCCTGGGGCCTCTCCCGGAAGGGGCGAGCCCATTCGAGGCCCTTTTGCCAGGGTTGAGGCCGGCTGGGGGACCGAGGTGGCCTAGCACCAGTTCTGCCCAGCTGACGCGGGAAAAACAGGCCCCCATCGTCCCCACTGCATTGTCGAGTAGTTGTTCAGGCCGCGGTTCGTAGCAAGAGTTTGCCCATTGCAGGTCGGCTTGTGCGGTGTTTCCTGTTTGCCTTGCGACCTTTTGCTTCGCGATGTTGTTGTGGCACCCGTGGGTTTTGTGCGAAGAGAAACAACGGGTTCCCTCGTCCCCAGGAGGGGTGTTGGGACCGATCTAGAGCAGCTTTGCCCCAGTCTCCCCTCTTGGTGGTTTTGAGTGGCTTTGAAGTCCCAGCTCCTCTAGGATATGGCGTTTCGTCCAGGGAGTGCCAATTCCCTGGTGTTAGGGGAGGAAAAACCACCCCGACCGCGACATTTGGCGTTTACCAAACGGCCGTGGGCGTCATCTAAACAGCCCTGTCCTGTTCGAGTCCTTCCTTGGGTGAGTCTACAAAATGGCTTCGCTTGTCGGGGTGGATGTTCTGCCCTATGTGGTGGTGCCCCCCCTTGGCATTGCCTGGGCGGACCCTTCTGCCCTCGAAGGTTTTCTGAGAGAGTGCGCAGTTCAAGACGCCGTCCGGTGATTGCAGACGCGCTTCGGGGGCACTTGGCCCTTGTGTCAGACGAGGGCCCAAGCTGCTGTCGCGCGGGGCCAATGCAGGACAGCTGGGGGGGGGGCATCGGATATGGCGCATACGCAGTCGACCCCTGCGGACCCCAGATGGGGGTGACGCACGGGTCACGGGTCGTGGTCGTGTCGCGTCTCGCTCTGCTCGTCGGCGTGGTCCAGGTCGTGGTCGGCGACGCCGTCCTGGTCTTGGCGCGCGCCGCTCTGCTCATGACTTGTGGCCCTTCTGCAGTGGTCACGCCACCGCCAGCCCCAGGGGGTGGCGCACGGGCGGGAGGAGGAGGAGGAGGAGGAGGAGGAGGAGGAGGAGGAGGAGGAGGAGGAGGAGGAGGAGGGGCCGCGTGAAGGTCATGACTCTGCTGAAGGACATGCTCAAGCAGTTGGAGAAAGAGGCTTCGGAGGAGCGCACTCCGAGCACTCCCCCATGAGCCGAAATTGCCCTACAGGCTTGTGGGAGTCGATTCGTGGAGAGGAAGCATGCTGCCAAATCATTTCCAGATGTCTAATGCATGCTGCTCCGAATATGTTAAAAACATGGTTGAAACATTTTCAGGACATGTTTCACACATTTTAAGCACATCTTAAATTCAATGATCGGACTGTTAGAGTGTCCATTGTCATGGCATCCACAACTATAGGCACGAAGTATTTCCCTTTCGTCATCCTCTTCTTCTCCAGGGGCCTCCAGGCGGTGTGGTGTCCACACCGTGCGGTGAGTCATTCGGGATTCGGGGTCACCGCACGGTTCCGGGACTCGTGTGACCGTGCGGTGATGGACCGTGCGGTGAGGTCTTCGGGGATTTCGAGGTCACCGCACGGTCCGTCACCGCACCGTTTGGGGACCCCCGATCTTTCTCCGCTTCTACACTTGGCTGCATCGTACGTAAGCGCAGACGTCACCATCATTCTGGTCCCATCGAAGGAGAACACCAGCATAAGCTTACACTTTTGGATCTCCGCGCGAATTCCTTGGATTGCCGCGGGGCTCCCCTGGCGGCACTTCGGCGCCTTCCTGGGGTCTAGCGCAGATCTCAGAAGTCCGCACGGACTTCCGACAGTTTCTGTTTATGCAATATTTTGTTCCTCTAGTCCCAGGGATCGGAGCACCCTTTGCCATGGTCATGCGCGCGCCTCTGTACATCCATCTTTCGACAAGTAGGTGTTGCAGGGCCGCCCTGCCGGGTGCGCCGAAGGAGTGGCGGGGCAAAGGGCCCCAAGGGGGGGGGGGGGTCGTGCGAGGGACTGCAGCAATGGCCCTTGACGAGCGCGGGGGCGACAAGACCCGCGGGGGCGAACTAAAACCCGGGGGTGAAAAAGACCCCGGGTTCGGGGGTGGACAAAAAAAACTGCAGAAGCAGGTGAAGATGATTTCAACATGGACGACCTCAACGAGCTCAACGAGCTGCACTCCCCTTGAGGCATCGGGGGTGAAAAAGACCCCGGGTTCGGTTTTTCCACCCCCGCACCCCGGAACCACCTGCGCTCATGGCGCTGCGGCAAGGGCCACCTGGGGCTCGGGCGGGGCTCTGGTTCTCGGGCCGCCCCTGCGCTCGGGGTCGGGGGGGGGCCTCTTCTTCGTGGCAGAGGCTCGCCGTGGCCGGACCCGGCCTCCGGCGCTCCTGCTCCAGCGTTGCCTCGGGGCAGCACGAGGGCTGTGCGCCTGGATCGCCGTCGGGAATGTGCAGTCCAAAGGGTTCAGGGTCGGGAGGAGAAGGGCAGACACGGGCACAGGTTGACGTCGACTTCCAGGAAAACGCTGGACCACGCGGGCAACGGGGGGGAATCAGGAGCTCCCGAACATGTGGGCAGCATCTGGTGGATCCTTGGAGTTCTGCCTGCTCATTTCTGTCTCCCTGGGCCCCTTTGCAGGGTCGGCTCGATCTTGATGTGGCTGAGCTGCAGGGGCCGCGCTGCTCGGGAGGCCAACTGCGTGGGGGCCCGGCGCAGCAGACGATACAGTCACGAGGGCGCTGCGGAACGGCTCTCGGCGGCGCGCCCAGGGGGGAGCCTTCTCAGGAGGCTCGGGAGGCTTCTGGCCTTCCGGGAAGCTTCTGCGTAGGCCTTTTCCGAAGGCAGAGGCGGCTTCTCAGAAGGCCAGGGGGCTTCTGAGAAGCCCCGCCGCCTCCTGAGAGGGCCTGCCGCCTCTCGCTTCCCCCCTGGGCTCGCCGCCGAGGCACGTCGAGTCGCCTTTGGCCCAACCCGCCACCGTGCCCGACTTGTGTGGATCCGAGGCTGTCTGCCGCAGGCCTCGTGGATACCTCTCCGGGTCTCGCGAAGCCTCTTTGCAGCCTCTTGGGGGCCTCCTGGGGGCCTCTTGGGGTCGTCTTGGGGGTCTGTTGGGCCCTTGGGGGCTCTCCTGAAGGTCTCGGCGGCCGTCCTGGGGTGTTCAGGGCTCCAAATGTTAGTTTGTGCTCCCATTCTTGGGCCCCTCGCGGGGGCTCAGAAGCCGTCGTTGGTTTGTGACCTCTGAGGCCGTCTTGGACGCTCTTACAGTCGAAAAGGCTACCATGCGAATTAGCATTATACGAACATTCAAGATGGCCCAAGAGCCTTCAAGAGGGCTCCAGGACGGGGTCTGAGACTGAGACAAGGAATGCGAGCCGCCCAAGAGCGCAAATTATTCTGGGCCCTGGGACCCTTGACGAGGTCGCACCATATTCAATACAGACAACTCAAACGAACTGAGGAGACTCCACTCAGTGCCTATGGCGCAGTGGCGGATGCATGCATGTGTAAAACTGTAAATCTAATACTTGGGCACGCTCGGTGTCTGCTCTCTCTTTTGCCTCCTGCCATCTCTTTCTTGTCTACTGCCCTGCCAGTCTCTCCCAGCGCGCCTCTGGTATCCACAGCCTACGTCTGAGGACGAGGACATATACGACAAACTGGCATGCTGGTGCGAGACCAACGACAGAGAGAAGACCAAGGCTGATTTCCGTCTCGCGGTTTGTATCTCCTCGCGACGATCCCCTTGCGCCCTCTCTGACATCCCCTTGAACGGCTTCTTCGCTTCCTCCATACAGTCAATCTGTTGAAATGATGACCACTTTGGATTTAGGAGGGGCTGGGGCTTTCTGGCCGTTCCTTGGGGCCAGGTTGGGGGGCCTTTTTGGCCGCCGAGGCTCGCCGTGGCCAGAAAAGCCCCTTCGTTCTCTGCTCAGCGTTGCTCATCATGGCACGATGGCTGTAGATTTTCCTCATCCTAGGGGGGCGGCAGCCCACGTGTAAGGCAGGTCTGGCTTAGGGGCCAGGGATCGGACATGGTAATTTCCAAGATATCGGCTGGCGAATGTATTTCTTGCGCCTCCTGTAGCCCTTCCCTCGGCGTGCCAGAGGCCATCAAGGATGCCGAGTCCCGCATCGCGCAGCTCCAGGTTCAGATCGAGGAGGAAGCGACCTTGTTGCGCGCGCTACAGGAGTAGGCTAAGCAGCAGCGCAGGATCAGCATGAACATGATGTTGTCTTTGGCCTTGAGCCGCTTTGGACAAAGACTATCCTTGTAGGACAGTCTTGCAGCGGTCTTGGGGTGTATTCCGACTGGGGCCATTCGGCAGCCAGCTTGAGGCTCTCTGGGGCGGGGGTGGCGTCGAACAATCCTGGGCGAGAAAGAGTGGTGAGCCCAACGCGCTCAGAAGTGTGAATACGACACCTAAGTTTTTCAGTGCGTTTGCCTCTCGAGTGCCAGTCGGGAGTACACTGGGTCCCCATCGATTTTTTTGTGGGGGCTCGTCTGGTGCATCTTGCGCGTGCAGTTGCCGCTTTGGAGATTTTGCAGCCGCTTGGGCGGGGAACTGCCTTAGGCTTCCCTGTATTTCCCGTCTCGTCGTTGTCCTCTTAGCCATCATCGTCGTCATCATCATCATCATCACCATCGTCATCACCATCACCATCACCATCACCATCACCATCACCGTCACCGTCACCATCACCATCATCATCACTATCACCACCACTAGCACCATCACCACCACCACCACCATCACCATCACCATCACCATCAGCATTACCCTCACCATCACCATCACCATACTCATCATCATCATCAGCAGCATCATCAGCAGCATCAGCAGCAACATCAGCATCATCATCAGCAGCGTCAGCATCATCATCAGCATCACCAAGTGCATCATCATACTCATCATCGTCACCACGAACATCATCATCAGCATCGTCAACACCACCACCACCCTCCCCATCATTATCATCATCATCCTCATCATCATCCTCATCAGCACTATCATCATCATGATCATCACCATCACCATCACCATCACCATCATCATCATCATCACCGCCATCATCAACATCATCACCATCATCATCACCATCATCGCCATCAGCATCATCATCCTCATCACCTCCATCATCATCATTCCCATCATCACCATCATCAACATCACCATCACCATCGCCAGCAGGACCACCACCGTCATCATCATCATCTTCATCATCATCATCATCATCATCATCATTGCTATTTATGTTTTTTTTGTTAGTTTTTGGTAAGAATGAATTTTATTGTTGTTACGGCTGTCAATTTTATCCTTCTTCTCTTTCTTATTATGTTGTTTTCTTCTTTTTTGTTCTTACTATTCTCATCGTCATTGTCATCATTCTTTTACTTATCATGATTGGTGGGGTTACCATTATTATCACTACGACCGGTAGTGTTACCATTCTCAGTATATCTAGTTTTAGTATTATTATTTTTATCATCACCATCATTACTACTACTACCACCACAACTGCTAGTACTGCTGCTACTACTACGACTACTACAACTACTACCACTACTACTACCACTACTACTACTACTACTACTACTACTACTACTACTCCTACTACTACTCCTACTACTACTTTTACTATTACTACTACTACTACTACTACTACTACTACTACTACTACTACTACTACTACTACTACTGCTACTGCTACTGCTACTGCTACTGCTACTGCTACTGCTACTGCTGCTGCTACTACTCCTACTACTGCCATCATCATCATCATCATCATCATCATCATCATCATCAGCATCATCATCATCATCACCATCATCATTGTCGTCGCCGTGCGTCCTACCTCACGTGGGTGGCTTGAATCGTTCAGTGCATTCCAGTTCTACTCCTCAACGGGCCTTATACGCTGGCTGGCCTGCTAGGAGGCTGCGTGTATCCGCTGCATCCCCCATGCGCTCATTCCCTCCCACCCCCAAAGGACACTGCCATCAGTTCGCGCCTCAACACCGAGATCAAGAACACGGAAGAGGAGGTCGCGAAGAACCAGGAGGCACACCCTCTACCTCTTTCAACGAGTCGCCGCGAGGGTGACACCTGCCCTTGCCTCTCGGAACTCGGGACCCTTTGGATGGAGCGGAGGGTGGTGTCTTCGGACTGCAGTATGCGGGGGCCGCCCTCATGGTGACCGCGGGGCCTTGGTGCCCTCGCCTCTCGACCCTAGCAGGGCAACCCGATAGAAGCATTCAACCTCTCGCTGGTGAGGGTGGGGTGGCATGTGCACCCTCTCTTGTCCAGCCAAGGGGGTTCAACGGAGAAGCCGAAGACCCCCGCGTGCGCTAATTCGTGACGTAATGTGTGCGATAAGTATCATATGCGCTCCTTCTGGAGCATTTAGTTTCTTGGACCTGTGTGGGATTCGCGCGAACCATCGTCAAACATTTGTGTCATGAAGTCGAACAATTACCTTGCTTGCGCACCAGTTTTTTTTGGTCAACGGCGAGAGCACGACCAATCTGCACCAATCTGCTGTTACCGTGATTGTCACCACGTGTCGTTGAGATGATTTTTTGACGAAGGAGCAAGCAGTGGAGCGAAGGTGGGGTATATCCGTCAAACTGAAGCTCGGCATCAGCCTGAGCAGATGCAGGAGTCAACTATAAACGCCTCTGCGGTTCTATTGATATTGGAGCGGTTAGGGGCGCCCCGAGACATGATGTGGTCATACCTTCGTGGCGGGCGCTCTCTGGCCATACCGCTCGGGAAGCGATATGCTACAAGATCTTGTGCCATATGTTTGGGTCGGACGTGCGTCTCCAACAAAGGCACACCTTACTAGCGTGTCCTTGTGCGTCCCACCCGGGACCCAGCATCAGGCAGCAGTCGCCATTCGACGGAGGCAGCCATGCCCGCAGGGTGCGCCTCTTGCGCCAGGTGCGACGCGACCGCTCCGGGCGTGCTTGCGAGGTGCACGCCAAGTTTGCGCCGTGTTCCCCAGGTGCACTGCGTCTGGCCGGCGAGCCAAAGCCGAGATCGATGTTCAGAGGAAGGCGGGTTGAGACAACTCGAAGGAGAAACCCCTGCATGAACATCAACTTTTGTTGCTCCGCGCAGATTTCTTGGATCTGCGCGGAGCGTCGAACGTCTATGTTAATGCCATGTTTTCTTTATCTAGCGATGGTGGGTTGCCTTCGGGGGGCCCCCTCGTCACCACGGCTGGACGCAGCTCGGAAAACTGCTTTCTGGACCCAGGAGGGGGGACAGACTTTGAGCCGTTGTTGGCTCAAATCGCCCTGCTCCGAGATATGGGATTGCCAGTCTGAGGGAAGCATGAATGCACTACGAGAGCGGTTCTGGCGCGTGGATCATGCAGGGCCAGCTTGTGCGAACAAACTGCCGCACACGTCTCATTCGTGTGATCTGTCCTCCCTGCGTTGCGAGACTGAGCTGGAAGGGCGTGGCCGTTTGTGCAGCCTGAGCAAGCTGTAGCAACCGAATTCAGTATGAGAAGGCTGGTATGGCTAGCCTCCTCTGGAGAGTCAACCTTCCGCACACGCCGACAATGTTGACGGTGTTTGTTTGTTTGTTTGTTTGTTTTTCTTTGTTTGTTTGTGTGTGTGTGGCAATCGTTTGGGTTCTCACATGTATGCATTGGTTTGTATTCTGGGAGTACGTCGAACTGCCGTGTTGCACCGAGTACCAACACGCGAGTGTTGTGTCCCTGAACAACTGAGAATCGGAGGTCACACTTCCTTAAATCTATACTAGAGATTCCACGTTCATGTGATGTCTGACCGAGGTGAGTAATGCATGAGCGACACACGTGTATAAGTGCATTGCTCACTCGATGCAAGCGCCAGTTGCGAGTCACGTGGCCGTGCCGCGAATTGAAGACGCAGCATCCCCACAGGCTCCAGAGGTGGGCATCACGTGCGGGCTGATACCAGGTACCATCGTGTTTGCTTGTTACTATCGACGATAGTTCGGTCCAGGATGGGTGATGATGGCCGATCCATTATGTTGACGCTACCACCGATGACGTTCTTGTATGTCATACATGTATGTTTCCTGAGAACGAACGGATGGCCCCAGAGGCGCTTGACGAGGCCATCGCGATCAGAAAGAAGGAGTTGGCCGAGTTTAACGCTGAGGAGAAGGCCTTCGGATTGGCTTCCTGCCATATTTTCGCCTCGCACGCACGGTGCTTTCTGCTAGGGGTGGGAAAAGGGTTCCGAGGCAGCTTGACCTCACCGTGAATGTTTGGCCGACGCAGACATCTTAGCGTTCTGATACCAAGCTTGCGGGAGCCCCATTCGTACGCATGCTAGCATTGCTTACTTTATTGTGTCGCCTAGGCTTTGCTTCCTTTGCTCAGTGGCTTTTCGAGAGCGTTGTAGAGGTGTGTGGCAGACTCCCAGCGCACTCTTCTCCCTTATTCCTTTGCCTGTCCTCCTCTCTCTCAAAAGAAGTTCCAGATGTCTAAACCATGTAAGACACATGTTTTAAACATGTAAACGACATGTTTAGAACATTTGTCAGAGATTTTAAACACATTTCAAATTCAATGATCGGACTGTTAGGGTGTCCATTGTCGAGGCATCCGCAAGACTGCCCCCCCAGGCACGCCGCCAATCCCCCCCCCCTCGACGACGAAAACGTCGCTCACCCCCTCCTCGACGCCCGAGAAGTGGACAGCGCCGCCTCTGCCCGAGCCTCGAGCGCCGGGGCCGGGAGCCTCCACCGCCTCCACCGCCTCCGCCTCCGCCTCCTCCTCCGCCTCCGCCTCCGCCTCCGCCTCCGCCTCCGCCTCCTCCGCCTCCTCCGCCTCCGCCTCCTCCTCCACCTCCTCCTCCTCCTCCTCTCCACCTCGACGACGAAGACGCCCCTCACCACGACGATAACGTCCCCCCTCGACGACGGATATGTCACCCCTCGTCCTCCCTCCCCCCTCGACGACGAAAACGGCCCTCACCCCCTCTGCTTGGGGCTGTGTTCCTCACGCCCCCGGATGGCGCCCCACCGCGCAGGAGATGTTGGAGGCTATCCAGGCGCTCCGCGCGGCCGTGACCGTGCTGTCGAAGCACCACGGCGGCGCCGCCTTTCTGCAGGCCTCGGCCCGCGAGTGTGCACGGCGGCGGCTGCGGAGGCGGAGGCGGAGGCGGAGGCGGAGGAGGAGCAGGAGAAGGAGGAGGAGGAGGAGGAGGAGGAGGAGGAGGAGGAGGAGGAGGAGGAGGCGGAGGCGGCGGAGGAGGAGGAGGAGGAGAAGGAGGAGGAGGAGAAGGAGGAGGAGGAGGAGGAAGGAGGAGGGAGGGGGGGGAGGAGGCGGCGCGGAGGCGGCGGCGGCGGGGGAGGAGGACGAGGCGGCGGAGGAGTAGGAGTGAGGAGGGAGGCTCCCGAACTACAACAACAACGGCTCCCGCCTGATATTACCTCACAATCAATGTCCAAATCGCGCTCTCGCGCGGGACTTCTTTACAATTTATTCAGAAATCGCGCTCTCGCGTGGGACTTCTCGCAATTTATTCAGACGCCGCGCCCTCGACATTCAGGAGTCACGCTCTCGCTGTGGATTTTCTCAGGATTGATTTGGGAATCGAGCTGTCGTTCGAGCCTTCCTCGCGATGGTTCATGCAGTACGCACACTTCACCAATCCGCCTGCTCGACCTGGCCGCCTGGGCCCTCCTTCCCGACCCGCCTTGCAGGGCCTACCCGCCCGATCTGCCCGTCTGGTTCTGCCACGTGTTTTCTGCTCGTAGCCCCCCTCCTCCCAGTCTCTCTCGTGCTCCATCCTCCTCCCTCCCCCTTGTCCCTTCCTTTCATCCGTTCTTCTTCCGCCTCAGGGGCTGCACGAGATACACGTTGCAGGTAGGAAAGATACACCCCCAAGGGGGTACCGTCGAAGACGAAGAGGGCGGGTATCGAGGGTTCGGGATATACGTGTTGACTGGCACGCAAGCGTATAAGAGCGAACCGTATTAACTTTGTTGTTGTTATGGTTGTTGTTATTGTTGTTGTTGTTACTGCTGCTGCTGCTGTTGTTGTTGTTGTGGTTGTTGTTGTTGTTGTTGTTGTTGTTGTTGTTGTTGTTGTTGTTGTTGCTGCTGCTGTTTTTATGGTTGTTATTGTTGTAGTTGTTGTTGTTGTTGCTGCTGCTGCTGCTGCTGCTGTTGTTGTTGTTGTTGTTGTTGTTGTTGTTGTTGACACTGCACCTAACAACCCGGCCCCCCCCCAGCAACCAGCAACCAGCTACCTAGCCGCTGGCGCGCCTGGCGTGTGTGGCGCACCTGGCGCGCCTGGCGCACCTGGCGCACCTGACGCACTTGGCGCACCTGGCGCACCTGGCGCACCCGGCGCGCCTGGCGCACCTGGCGCACCTTGCGCACCTGGCGCGCCTGGCGCACCTGGCGCGCATGGGTAACTGGCGCACCTGGCGCGCCTGGCGCACTTGGCGCACCTGGCGCGCCTGGCGCACCTGGCGCGCATGGCGCACCTGGCGCACCTGGCGCACCTGGCGCACCTGGCGCACCTGGCGCGGCTGGCGCACCTGGCGCACTTGGCGCACCTGGCGCACCTGGCGCGCCTGGCGCACCTGGTACACCGTGCGCACCTGGCACACCTGGCGCACTTGGCGCACCTGGCGCGCCCGGCGCACCTGGCGAACTTGGCGCACTTGGCGCACCTGGCGCGGTTGGGGCTTCTGGCGCACCTGGCGCACCTGGCGCACCTGGCGCGCCTGGCGCACCTGGCGCACCTGGCGCACCTGGCGCACGTGGCGCACCTGGCGCACGTGGCGCACCTGGCGCACCTGGCGCACCTGGCGCGCATGGCGCACCTGGCGCGCATGGCGCACTTGGCGCACCTGGCGAACCTGGCGCACTTTGCGCAGCTGGCGCAGCTGGCGCACCTGGCGCGCCTGGCGCACCTGGCGCACATGGCGCACCTGGCGCACCTGGCGCACATGGCGCACCTGGCGCGCCTGGCGCGCCTGGCGCACCTGGCGCACCTGGCGCACCTGGCGCACCTGGCGCACTTGGCGCGCCTGGCCCGCCTGGCGCACCTGGCGCGCCTGGCGCACCTGGCGCATCTGGCGCGCCTGGCGCAGCTGGCGCAGCTGGCGCACCTGGCGCACCTAGCGCACCTGGCGCACTTGGCGCGGCTGGCGCACCTGGCGCACTTGGCGCGCCTGGCGCGCCTGGCGTACTCAGCGCACCTGGCGCACCTGGCGCGCCTGGCGCGCCTGGCGCGCCTGGCGCGCCTGGGGCGCGTGGCGCGCCTGGCGCGCCTGACGCACCTGGCGCAGCTGGCGCAACTGGCGCACCTGGCGCACCTGGCGCACCTGGCGCGCGTGGCGCACCTGGCGCACCTGGCGCACCTGGCGCGCCTGGCGCAGTTGGTGCGCATGGCGCACCTGGCGCACCTGGCGCACCTGGCGCACCTGGCGCGCCTGGCGCACCTGGTACACCGTGCGCACCTGGCACACCTGGCGCACTTGGCGCACCTGGCGCGCCCGGCGCACCTGGCGAACTTGGCGCACTTGGCGCACCTGGCGCGGTTGGGGCTTCTGGCGCACCTGGCGCACCTGGCGCACCTGGCGCGCCTGGCGCACCTGGCGCACCTGGCGCACCTGGCGCACGTGGCGCACCTGGCGCACGTGGCGCACCTGGCGCACCTGGCGCACCTGGCGCGCATGGCGCACCTGGCGCGCATGGCGCACTTGGCGCACCTGGCGAACCTGGCGCACTTTGCGCAGCTGGCGCAGCTGGCGCACCTGGCGCGCCTGGCGCACCTGGCGCGCATGGCGCACCTGGCGCACATGGCGCACCTGGCGCACGTGGCGCACCTGGCGCACGTGGCGCACCTGGCACACTTGGCGCACCTGGCGCGTGTGGCGCACCTGGCGCACCTGGCGCACATGACGCACCTGACGCACCTGGCGCAGCTGGCGCAACTGGCGCACCTGGCGCACCTGGCGCACCTGGCGCGCGTGGCCCACCTGGCGCACATGGCGCACCTGGCGCACCTGGCGCACCTGGCGCACCTGGCGCACCTGGCGCATCTGGCGCACCTGGCGCAGCTGGCGCACCCGGCGGACCTGGCGGACCTGGCGCACCTGGCACAGTTGGCGCGGCTGGAACACCTGGCGCACTGATCGCACCTGGCGCGCCTGGCGCATTTGGCGCACCTGGCGCACCTGGCGCGCCTAGCGCGCATGGCGCGCCTGGCGCGCCATGCGCGCGGGCGCGGCTGTGAGGAGGCTGGGTAGTCGGCCATTGCAGCCAGCTCCTGGCTGTATCGCTTAGTTTGCCGCGCGGCGCGCTGCTGCTTTGGATCCCAGCCGTGGCGGCCGACTGGGTCAAATGTGCCTTGCGCACCAGAACTTCGCTGCAGTTCTTCGTCCTTTCCCCGCCGCTGCTGATCCCAAACATCATCCCTATCCTCCCTCCTTCTCCCTCCTCCTCCTCCTTCTCCTCTTCCTCCTCCTCCTGTTCCTCCTCCTCCTCCTCCTCCTCCTCCGGTTCCTCCTCCCTTGGGAGCGGCGCGCATTCCCTGCCCAGACTTTGTGGACCATCTTGGGCCATATGTGTATACATATGTACGTATATATGTGTGTTCGTGTACATATATATGTACATATATATATATATGTATATATACATATGTATACATATATATATATATATAATTTTATGTATATATACATGCATATGCCAACCGTATATACACACATGTGTACATGCATACATATATATATATATATGTATGCATGCATACATACATATGTATGTATGTATGTATGTATATATATACTCAACTTATATGTATACAATTACATCTATATAAACATTTTTATATACGTATGCATATACATGTGTATATATATGTTCCCAACTATGCATATGCAGTATATGTATACGTATGTACATGTTGTGCATATATTTACATACATACACACATATATATATATATATATATATATATAGATGCATACACATATATACATACGTCGACCTATACATATACACACATGTGTACATTTTTTATATCTATAATGTACACATACTTCTCCTACACACGGTACCTTTGGGATCCCTGAGGAGCCCCAGGGATTCCCTAGGATTATGAGGATCCCTCGAGGGATTTTCAAAATTCCTCAGGAATCCCAGGGAATCCTTAAGAGTCCTAGGGATTCCTGCGGAGTCCCAGGGATTCCTTAGTAGTCCTAGGGATCCCTGAGGAGTCCTAGGGATTCCTCAGGAACCCCAGAGGTCTCAACAGTTCCCATGGATTCCCAGGGATTCCTCAGGAGCCCTAGGGATTCCTAAAGAGTTCTAGGGACTCCTCATGAGTCCCAGGGATTCCTTAGGATTCCTTGGGATTCTTTATGGGGTTCCTTAGGAGTCCTGAGCATACCCAAGGGATTCCCAGGGATTCCTAAGGATTCCTCGGGAGTCCTAGGGATTCTTTAGGAGTCCTTGGGATTCCTCAGGTCTCCTAGGGATGTTTAGGGATGACCGCGGATTCTTGAGGATTCCTAGGGATCCCTTAGGAGTCCCAGGGATCCCTCAAGAGTCCTAGGGATATCTAAAGAGTCCCAGGGATTCCTGCAGAATCCTTAGGCGTCCTAGGGTTTCCGGAGTCTTAGGCATTCCCTAGGATTCCTTAGGATTCCTAGGGATTCGTGAGGATTCTTGGGGATTCCGCAGGATACCTTAGGATTCCGAGGCACTGCTTTGGATTCCTAGGGATTCGTTAGCATTCCATAGGATTCCTAAACATGCTCTAGCATTCGTGAGGATCCCATCGGAGTCTCAGGGATCCCTAAGGATTCCCTAGGATTCCGAATTCCTAGGGATGCCTTAGCATTCGTGAGGATTCCATAGGATTCCTAGGGATTCCCTCGGATTCCTAAGGATGCCTTAGCATTCGTGAGGATTCCATAGGATTCCGAGGGATTCCCTAGGATTCCTAGAATGCTTTAGCATTCGTGAGGATTCCATAGGGTTCCTAGGGATTCCCTCGGATTCCTAGGGGTGCCTTAGCATTCGTGAGGATTCCATAGGAATTCGAGGGATTCCCTAGGATTCCTTTAGCATTCGTGAGGATTCCATAGGATTCCATCGGATTCCCTCGGATTCCTAGGGATGCCTTAGGAATCCCATGGGGATTCCATAGGATTCCTAGGCCTAGGGATTCCCTCGGATTCTTAGGGATTCCCTTGGATTCCTAGGGATGCCTTAGGAATCCCATGAGGTGTCACAGGATTCCTTAGGAATCCCATGGGATTGCTTAGGAATCCTTAGGGATCCCATAGGCTTCCGTCGGATTTCTATATGCTTCCTTAGGGATCCTATAGGATTCCTATAGGATTCCCATAGGATTCCCATAGGATTCCTTGGGATCCCCTAGGAATCCCCTAGGGATCCCATGGGACTCCTTAGGAATCCTTACGAATCCAATAGGATTTCTATAGGTTTCCCTAGGCATCCGATAGGATTCCCATAGGATTCCATTCGGATTCCCATCGGATTCCTTGGGATTCCCTAGGAATCCCTGAGGGATCCCATAGGACTCCATGGGAATCCCATAGGATTCGTTAGGAGTTCTATCGGCTTCCTTATGGGTTCTATAGGATGCCACAGGGAGTCTGCGTCCCGGAGGTCGGCTCGGCGGCGCGCGCATGGTTTCAGCTCGTGGGAGTGCATTGGCTGCCTTAAGGAGCCCAAATGCGAAGCTTGAGGTCCGCTTGCTGGTTGCTGGTTGCTGGTTGCTGGTTGCTGGGGGGGGGGGTTGCTGACCACGGGGGGTTAGGTCAATGGTTGTCCTTAAGGACAAGCATTGACCCAGCTGCCCGTTGAACGGGGGGTTAGGTGCAGTGTCGACCTTGCTGTTGTTGTTGCTGCTGCTGTTGTTGTTGTTGCTGTTGTTGTTGTTGCTGTTGTTGTTGTTGTTGTTGTTGTTGTTGTTGTTGTTGTTGTTGTTGTTGTTGTTGTTCGGTTTCGTTTTTGCTGTTGTTGTTGCTGCTGCTGCTACTGTTGTTGTTGTTGTTGTTGCTGTTGCTGCTGCTGCTGCTGCTACTGTTTTTGTTGTTGTTGTTGTTGTGTTTGTTGTTGTTTGTTGTTTGTTGTTGTTGTTGTTGTTGTTGTTGTTGTTGTTGTTTTTGTTTGTTGTTGTTGTTGTTGTTGTTGCTGCTGCTGTTGCTGCTGTTGCTGCTGTTGTTGTTGTTGTTGTTGTTGTTGTTGTTGTTGTTGCTGTTGTTGCTGTTGTTGTTGTTGTTGTTGTTGTTGTTGTTGTTGTTGTTGTTGTTGTTGTTGAACATTATTAATTCTAAAGAATAATTATTGTTGGGCCCCCTGGTGCGCGCCCCCCCCGCCGCGCCTAGGCCGCAGCTACATTTTCATCATTTTCGTGAGGAAGCCTCAGGTAATTCGAGGTGATCAAGATCCGGTTGTTTTGTTGTAATCCGTTTTCCCTTGCAAAAAACACTATAAAATGACATTTCTTGTTCTAATATAATCAAATTTCAAGAATCCCTTGCAAAAAATAAGGTAAAGTGGACATTCGCGCGCGCAAGACGAAATCCTTCCAAAAGCTTAGTGTTCGGAACGATTTTAACATAAAAACATCAAAAAACCAATGGTTTTTCAACAAAAAATGTCAAAATCTCATCCCGCGCGCTCTTGCGGATTCGTAGGAAACCCAACACTTTTTAAACATTTCTGTCAAACGGGCTTTTGCGAGCAACTTTTTCGAACTTCTGCGACAACGGTTGCGCACCTGCCAGGGCCATCATCCCTGTCAAATAATACCATGCGGGACACATTCGTTTTTTCTTCGCGCGCGCACGCCGAAATCTCCAAAAACCATTGGGTTCTGTGGGTGTGTACCCCACGCCAGTGTAGTAGCCACGGTCGTCCGCACGCCACGAAGTGAAGTGTCCCAACGTCATAGGGCGGGAAGCTGGGTTTGGGTGGTCGCGAAGAGTCGTTTGGATATTTGGTAGAGCTTGCAATGCCCCCCCACGAAGTGGGGGCATTGCCTGGTGTCGTATGAAAACCCTGGCACTGGGGAGAACACCACGCGTTCGGGTAAAATGATTTTTGTTGTTGTTGTTGATGTTGTTGTTGTTGTTGTTGTTGTTGTTGTTGTTGTTGTTGAGCTCTAATTGCTGAAGAATAATTATTGTTGATCCCCCCCCTCCGGCGGACATTGTATTTTTTCAATTGAAGTTCCCCTTCCGGGGCTCGCACCCTGTTTCTTATCAGGGAAAGTCGTGGGCATCAAACTGCGTTGTTGGCCCCCCGGACAACAACAACAATGGCTCCCGCCTGATACTTCCTCCAAATTTACTGAGGACCCCCGCCCCCGCCTGGGACTTCCTCGCAGTTTACTCAGGCGGAGGCGCTCCCGCCTGAGACTTCCTCGCAAATTACTCCGGACCCCCGCCCCCGCCTGGGACTTCCTCGCAGTTTACTCAGGCGGAGGCGCTCCCGCCTGAGACTTCCTCGCAAATTACTCCGGGAGCGGCGCTCCATCCATCCTCCCCCCCTTGCCCCTTCCCTCCTCCCTCCCTCCCCCCACTCTTTTCCTCCTCGCTCTCCCTTCCTCCTTCCCCCTGCTCTTCCTGTTTTAGGGGCTGCGCCAACTACACGTGGCGAGTAAAAAAGATATACCCCCAAAGGGGTATGACCGAAGACGAAGAGGGTGGGTATCGAGGGTTTGGGATTTACATATTGAGTGACGCGCGCGCATATAAGAGCGATCAGTCTTAAGATGATTGTTGTTGTTGTTGTTGTTGTTATTGTTGTGGTTGTTGTTGTTCTTGTTCTTGTTGTTGTTGTTGTCGTTGTTGTTGTTGTTGTTGTTGTTGTTGTTGTTGTTGTTGTTGTTGTTGTTGTTGTTGTTGTTGTTCTCGTTGTGATGGTGATGGTGACGGTGACGGTGATGGTGATGGTGATGGTGATGAGTAAGAGGATAAGGAGGAGTGCAGATGTCCTCCTCCTCCTCCTCCTCTTCCTCCCCATCCCGCCTTCAGTCGTCCTCCCTCCTTGCCCCGTCCCCCCTTCCTTCCCGCCTGCCCTCGGTCCTTCGGGCGACCATTTGGATCCGCTACGAATCCTCGTATGTCCTCCTCCTCCTCTTCCTCCTGATCTTCTTCTTCCTCCTCCTCCTCCTTCTCCTCCTCCTCGGTGGACAGGACTTGGATCCTCTGTCCTCCCCGATCCTTCCCGTCCCCCTCTCATCCTCCCTCTCTCGGCCCAGGTGCCCCACACCCACGTGCTGAGCGTGGCCACCACGCTGCAGCACCTCATCGACTCCCGGCACCTCGTCGGCGTGCTGACCCACAAGGCCACCGCCCGGCGGCCCGCGGGTGGGGCCCCCCCGCGCGTGCTGGCTCGGGGGCCGGCGGAGGGGCGGGTATGACCCCGCAGGAGCAGAAGGAGGAGGGCGAGGGCAAAGAGGGCGGAGGAGGAGGAGGCGGAGGAGGCGGAGGCGGAGGCGGAGGAGGAG